TATACTTTTTTTTTTTCAAAATACCAAACAGATCATGCATTTTAGCCATGCCTCATTTCGCTCAATTTGACATTTTTTTGCTCTGTTTGTGCAAGGGCAGATTCAGTGAGAACAGCACCATCTACTGGCCTGGCATATGTACTACAGCGTCTCCAGCGCTTTCGAACGGCAATGGCCGTGGCTGTCTCCTCCTGATTGGTGGAGTTGGCCCAATAGCCGTAGCGCCACCGTCCTGACGTCAGGACAGTGTTCAAATCTGGATCAGTTTTTATCAGATCCGTTGCAGCCCCTTTTTTAGAGATTTGGGTATGGAGGAAAATAGAGAGGGTTGTGTTTTCTGACACTTGGTGAGTTCCCTGGAACACCGGGGACACATATTCATGTATAAAAGACGTACAAAAGTGCATTTTGCATGATAGGTCCCCTTTAAGTTAAAAGACTTGATCGATTCTGTTTTGTCTTGCAATTAGAAGCTCCTGTCTCTTTCTGAAGATATCCAGGTATGATTAGCTTAAGGGGACACAACACTAGGGTGATTCTGACAAGATATAGGTTTTTACATGTTAGTATTAGTGTTCAGACACTGAAGACTAATTGAGTACGAGACGTATCTTTTCTCTTGGGAAAGTCCGCAGAGCTTAAACAGAAAGGTGACGCACATTTAAGCTGCTTACAACGGACTAATGGGGACAAGAACAGGGCCACACACACACACACACACACACACACACACACACACACACACACACACACACACACACACACACACACACACACACACACACACACACACACACACACACACACACACACACACACACACACACACACACACACACACACACACACACACACACACACACACACACACACACACACACACACACACACACACACTGACATGTATTTTGCTCTGCTCGCTGTTCCTGGAAACACTTGCAAAGATAAACAAATCTGAGATTAAAGGTCACGATGATATTGGTCCTGCTTGTGTGTGTGTGTCTGTGTCTGTGTGTGTGTGTGTGTGTGTGTGTGTGTGTGTGTGTGTGTGTGTGTGTGTGTGTGTGTGTGTGTGTGTGTGTGTGTCATGTATTCCAGTAATCTAGAAGTGTTTCAGGTTGCTACAGAAATACAAATTAATCAGACTGCTTTTGGTGAAACAGAAAACAACAAACCGTATCAAAATGACAAACATCCACACGTAAAAAACAACAACACTCTCCAGTTGAGTACAGTCAAATATGCAAATTAGAAGTCAATTAGTGGAGTGTTGTTGCTTTGGGAAGAAGGCCAATTAAAGCTAAATCAAAAATGCAGTCAGACAATGCAGCATGAGGGAAAACTAGGAGGAATAAAGTGCTAAAGAAAAGTCAGCAGACTCTCACACTCGATGCCTGAATAGATTATTCATGAACGTTGTAAATTAAAACTGTAACTGCACTTAAACAGCAGGAGAACATCTGGTGAGCAGCTGATTCCATAAAATAACCCCTAACTCAGGTATACATCATATTCCAACAATGTTCACCTTTGACCTTCACACTGTGAACAGCTGTTTCTGTTCACACTCTCCCATTGGCCCTGATAACAAAGAGTGAACTCACTGACACTGTGAACATAATAATAATAACACTACATATTATTATTGTTCATTAATAACGGACTGAAAATGGCGTCCAACACTTCAGAGGTCCAGTGAAATATATCTCGACCGTATTTGGATATTCCAGAGGTCTGTTATTTTTCACTAACAGACCGTTGCTAAGGAGAACAGACCGTTGCTAAGGAGGATCGAGGGACTGTATGTGCAGTCGTATCAATCCGCAGAAAGAAGTCCGGTCAATTTAACGTCGACTGTGAACATTAGTTTTCTCCTTCAGAAAACACACACTTGTTTTAATATTTATTTTTATATTTGCTGAGAGCAGGACACTTTGGATTCATGAATGAAAAGAAAAAAACAAGAAGGAAAGAGGTGACATTGATTTTCTTCAAGACTTTAAGTCAAATGTTTTTGTGAAAGCTTTTTTTTACTTCTGGGGATTTAAATGTTGTCTCAAAAAATCATTCAAATATTGTTATTTTATGAAGATTTTCTAGCTGAATAAAAATTAAGTAACACTAGACTTTTCTTTGTTAACTAGTATTGTCCAAGCTTTTTGAAAATCCAATGGAAAAATCCCATTAGCCTTTTTTGCGATGATAACTTCTGGGGTTAGCCTAAAAACACACATCCTTGCAGCACTTTCAAAATCATGTAAATATGCAATAATAGTCAATATGAGAAGACACATATTGTGAGGGATGAATGGAGCAATGCCTCACAATAGAGAGGAATGATCAAGAAACTTGTGATGTTTAATATGACTCAAAGGGAAGAAGAAAGACCCAAGAAAAGAAGACATATAGACACATATGACACATTCACACAAAACAGCTTTACCTAATGGTGCTCATTATTTGTGACTCTCCACAATGGTGACTATGCACTGAAAACACACTCAAATATTCATCCACACACACCAAATGTAACCGGGGGAAATAGCTTGTTGACAAACAAATGGCCCTCGACTTGGCACACCATTTTGGAGTGACTCAAGCAAAACAAACAGAGAGACATTTAGAGAAGCAAATCAAAAGGTGAAAGCGGTGGCTTAGGGATGCACAAGTGAACACACACGCGCACGCACACACACACACACACACACACACACACACACACACACACACTTCTGTGGAGTCTACGATGAAAATAAACACTACTTTCAAAAAGCTGAAACACTACAGCCAATTCAACATTCACTCATAGTGCATTCTGGGTATTATATGCAGATTTGACAATATGACACAAGCATGATGATCAGATTCAATTAGCATTTTGTTTCACTTCATTGTTCGGCCTGACATATTGTTCATTTTCGTAGTTGTGTGTCATGAAGGAGACGTTATTGTGTTTTATACAGTTGAATACTCGTTTCTGATTGGTCAATTTGAACCATCATTTATATTTAGTTCTTTAAATATATTGTATTACTTGAATAAGTGTGCAAAGAAAGTGGAATGTATATATTATACATGAAAAACTGACCAACTTAAGCCAGTCTAGTTTAATTATTGTCAATGTCTGTATTTGTGATCATGAATCAGTGTTTACCGACGTCTTAAAGGATTGTTAAAACACTGATTGAATCTGTCAGCTGACATGTGGAGGTTGTGTGTTAGTGTGAGGTCATGTGAAGGTCAGCAGCTGAGTTTAAATGTAGGGTCACTGAGAGGTCACTGAGAGGTCATGTCGAGGTACGGCAACGAGAGGTGAGAGTCAAAGTGTAAGTCAAGGGTCGGAAATGAACATAATCAATAGCAGGAATTATTCAACGTGTGTGTGTGTGTGTGTGTGTGTGTGTGTGTGTGTGTGTGTGTGTGTGTGTGTGTGTGTGTGTGTGTGTGTGTGTGTGTGTGTGTGTGTGTGTGTGTACAGGCTTTAACTTTTGAAATGTGCAAAGTGTGTGTAACTCTAACTAAGTAAATACATATGTACAAGGTTTACACTAGACAGTTAAACACGTTTTGTATAGGTTTCAGTGCATGTAAATGGTCTGCAAAGGCTAAAATCTCTGTGTTCCCTCCAGAGGGAGTTGTATGTTCTGTCTCAAACTGCACTATCAATTTAATTCCCATATTGTATACCTGCCCGATTGTGCCTTTTAATGACTATTTTTACATTTACTTGAACAATATGGTTCTGTTGAATTATCTCTCAATGTTTTTAATGGTTTTGTAAGTGATTTTGGATTTAGGATTTATAAATAGACTTGTCCTGCCTAAATAAAGTAAACACACCAATAACTGTAAGTGTATTCTCCACTGAGGTGAAACTGAGGAGCCATATCTGACTCTAAATAAACACATTACACACTGTACTATCACACAGCAGGAGCAATTACAAGCATGACACATCTGCCACACACACACACACACACACACACACACACACACACACACACACACACACACACACACACACACACACACACACACACACACACACACACACACACACACACACACACACACACACACACACACACACACACACACACACACACACACACACACACACACACACACACACACACACACACACACACACACACACACACACACACACAATGTGACATTTCAAATCAATAACATATGATATCACTGTTTAAACAAAGTGTGACTGCTTCAGCCGTCATGCTGTATGTTACTTTTCCTGGACATGGCCACACACACATCCACATACAAACACACACACTGCACTCTCCTTGGCCTTCCTGCTAGATTTATCGATGCAGCAGATTTCAGTCTGTCTCTGTGGTGTGTTGGGCCGCCAAGCCATTTAAGATATTGTAGTGTTGCAGCGGTTAAGTCTAGCACAGTCAGGGAAAAACACACACACACACACACACACACACACACACACACACACACACACACACACACACACACACACACACACACACACACACACACACACACACACACACACACACACACACACACACACACACACACACACACACACACACACACACACACACACACACACACACACACACACACACACACACACACTGTTCGTCCTATCTTCCTGAGAACAAAAAACAAGTCTTTTTAACTTTTCCATGAAGGACAATTAAAGCTCATTTACCCCAAACTTCAAACAAACCAATAAATGTAAAACTCTTTATATCTTTCCTTTCCGTAAGACTTTTTGAACAACAATCACAAATGTGGCTCTAAATTTCACACAGGTTGTTTAATAGTATACGGAAGCATTTATCAGGTTGTGTTGTCATGTTTATGTAGAGTTGCATGTTGTCAATGAGTGTCAAACAGTGTCCTCCTGATAGCAACGTACCTATCAAATGATTACATAAGACTTAAGACCAACAAGAAAGGGACGGTAACACATTTTCTCATGATTGAATAACCCGGTAATATGAAGGTTTACTCACAGTTGGCACTGGTCTCCCTTGATGCCCTTGGTGGTGCAGAAGCACTTCCCTGTGTTGACATGGCAGACGTTGGCATGGCTGTTACACTTGCATGCTGCAAAGAAAAACACAATAACAAGAGACAGAGGTGTTGAAATGTTATCTCTGTAATATCACAGTGAAGAGAGAGTAAAGAGAAACACTATGAGACAGAAACAACACATTTAAAGAGGCCCTATTATGGTTTCTGGGGTATTCCCTTCCCTTTTAGTGCAAAGTTCCAGAACATAATGACCAGGTAACACTCTTGGCTAGCGCTCCAACACATTGTACGTGATAGGCTAAGGGGCGGGACATCTCTAATGGCGCATTTCCACTACACGGCCTCGCTCGGCCTCGCTCGGTATGGCTAGGCCTCGTTAGGACCGGCTCACTTTATGGCGCATTTCCATTACAGTTTAGGAACTGGGGTAGTATCTATAGTAACGCAGTGTAGGCGAAGCCGTGACGTCATCTTCAATAAGAACCCCAGAAAAACAACACAGCCGTTAGCTGTTAGCCCTCTGAGCTCACAGCTCCTCATATATGTTCAGAAACTAGACAAAAGTTAAACCACAGACTGCCTGTGTCATGGTGAATACAGTCACTGGTTTATTTATGTCTGTATAGGCCGTTGTTGTGAGTGTGGACGTTCGGAGCATATACTGCGTTAGCTTAGCCAATCTCCATTTAGAAAACACGCATTTTAAAAGGTTTTTCGCCTGCCGTCTGTCTGCAGACTTGTCAAAGCATTAATTCATGGTTTTTACTAACCGGTATCAGTATGTTGTTACTTCGGCATCATTTTGAAACGTGTATTACAATTAAATCACGGTCAAATATGTCCATCTTGTTGTAGTTGTAGCCCCCTTGCCAGCGATGCTCTCTCTAGTTTAGCATACTCAGCCCGACTCAGCCTCGTTGTCTCTGGCCCTAGACCCGCGATTTTATGGGGCCAGAAAAACTGTGAATTAGGACCCGCCGGCCGGTACTAGGCCAAGTGGAAACGCAACCAAAGACGGGCCGCTGACGTCACAGCTCTCTTAAACGGGGCTCCGCGCTGCAGTGGAAACGCGCCATAAGCGGTTGACCAATCACAACAGAGCCGGCCAGCTAACCAATCAGAGCAGACTGGGCTCTGGTTTCAGACAGAGGGTGAAAAGAGGTGCTGCAGCACAGGCAGTATGAGAAAAATAAAGAGCTTTTTGAACATTAAAGCATGGAGACATGTCCCAGTAGAGGTACTTCAAGGTTGTTTTGGGTCACATTCACACCTATTAGTCCGCTTCTCTGATGCGCACCAGACCCTAACCCTATATAATCAGACAACGTGCGATAAAAAACGTGCGATAAAAAACATTATAACACATATAATGGGAGACGTTCTGCAGTAAGGAGGGGGTTCACCGACGGCAGGTGGCTCTGACTTTTATGTATAGTTTTTTGTTTGATAGTTGTTTTTACTTTACACGACACTGTTCAACACTTCATTCTGCTTCACTCTTTCGCTAACGATTTTGAAGACATCCGCGTTCTTGTGACACGTAAATCCTACGCTTCCTGTGTTTTGGTGCGGACTGCGTTCACACCAGCGATGAACCGCTCCAGAGTTCACTAGCAAGCGCTCCGAGACCACCTCTTTTAGGTTGTTTAGTTCACTTCAGAGGTCTCAGACTGCGTTCACACCAACCCAAACGAACCGCACCAAGCGGCTAAACGCACCAGGGTTCGATTCAACCGGACTATACAAGGCTGGTGTGAATGCGACTTTACTTTCACATATCATTTTGTACAGCGTTAAGAACACATTAGGGATTCCAGCAAGGTTTAAGACCTTTTTTTTTATTTACTAAGATGGCTGCCAAGTCAAAGCCACAATCAAACATGAAAAATAAACAGCAATCAAAAACATCTCTGTATCTACTACCACATTTAAAATGATGATACTGGTAGAAGTATACAGTACTAATATAAACTTTGCATCAACATACAATCTTAAATGTAATCACGATAGATGAAAGATAGAAACCCCCTCCATTTGAAAAAACGTCTGGAACATTTGAGCTGCAAGAACTAACATCCTGTAAGATCAAATCTGTTTTGAGACTGGATGTTTTTTCCTTTGGCGAGTCTAATTTTGTAATTGTTTTGTTATGCAAAAGCAGAGCTTGATGCCTGTAATTCAAACACTGAATCCCTTCTGCACGGGGTAAATAATGGCAGAGCGTACAATAACGTTCTCTGTATCCTTTCGCTCTTCCCCGTGTCCCTTTCCAGCTGAAATGACTTTGTGTTTTATTCTGTCCAATTGGCACAGAGACAGGCCTGTAATAAAGCAGAGGGTCGAGGTGAAGCCAAGGCGGATGATGAGAGGAAAACAACCTCTTCTGTCCTCTCTGGGAGGGTCTGATCGCAGGACAAAAACAAGGTGGCAGAGGTTTTTTTTACGCTTAGTGGCAGAGAAACAAACAGAGGTGGGAAGTAACTAAGTACTGAATGTAGGTACTTTTACTCAGGGTTGGAAGGGCTACTTTGATCCAAAAGGTGGAGGAAACTAATGTTTGTTATCCACAGCTGACGGTAAATTGACCGGACTTCTTTCCACGGATTGATATGACTTCACATAGTCCCTTGATCCTCCTTTAGGTCTGTTCTCCTTAGCACAGTCTGTTATCCTTAGCAACGGTCTGTTCTCCTTAGCAACGGTCTGTTATCCTTAGCAACTGTCTGTTATCCTTAGAAACTGTATGTTATCCTTAGCAAGGCTCTGTTATCCTTAGCAACGGTCTGTTCTCCTTAGCAACGGTCTGTTATCCTTAGCAACGGTCTGTTCTCCTTAGCAACGCCTGTTATCCTTAGCAACGGTCTGTTATCCTTAGCAACTGTATGTTATCCTTAGCAAGGCTCTGTTATCCTTAGTAACGGTCTGTTCTCCTTAGCAACGGTCTGTTCTCCTTAGCAACGGTATGTTATCCTTAGCAACGGTCTGTTATCCTTAGCAACGGTCTGTTCTCCTTAGCAACGCCTGTTATCCTTAGCAACGGTCTGTTATCCTTAGCAACTGTATGTTATCCTTAGCAAGGCTCTGTTCTCCTTAGCAACGGTCTGTTATCCTTAGCAACGGTCTGTTCTCCTTAGCAACGCCTGTTATCCTTAGCAACGGTCTGTTATCCTTAGCAACTGTATGTTATCCTTAGCAAGGCTCTGTTATCCTTAGCAACGGTCTGTTCTCCTTAGCAACGGTCTGTTATCCTTAGCAACAGTCTGTTCTCCTTAGCAACGGCCTGTTATTGAAAATCAACAACCTCTGTAATGTCCAAATTGGCCAATCAGAATCCAGTATTCAACCAAGCCATGTTAAAAAACCACTGTATAACTCAGAGGCCAAATTAGAAACTGAACCGAGACACTGGAAGAGGCAGAAATAACCTCTAAGAATATCAGATTATTCCACATTTTGCAGTAAATTGTATGACGGAGAACTGCAGTAACTGTCACCCTCTCTGCAAATTTGGTTGGATGTCTTTGTTTATGGTAAAACAAAAACAAATAATTGTATTCCTTGTACAACAAATCTGATGACTTCTACTTATGGTTTTTAAAATGTACATATACACAACGATATACTCAACACAAGTTGTAATTATCATAACTTGTACAATGCTTTAGCAATACTGTACGTCATTATTGTCACGCCAATAAAGCTATTTGAATTTAAATATGAGAGATTGAAGTGTGTAAGGAGCAGGGGATTCACAAAGGAAAGAGAATGAAAGAATAAAGCACTTCACGCAGAAGACCTGCTGACAACACAGGAATAAGAAACCTGATCTCTTAGCAGAAAAGGCTGATTTGATATAAATCATATTTCCTATGACTTGTGCAAGCCCCCTGAATAGAGAACAATTTCTCACCCCAGTGCCTCTGCATGTACACACACAATAGGGTTGTCAGGGTGTGTTTAATGTGTGTGTGTGTGTGTGTGTGTGTGTGTGTGTGTGTGTGTGTGTGTGTGTGTGTGTGTGTGTGTGTGTGTGTGTGTGTGTGTGTGTGTGTTTAATTCATCGGTGTGTCAGACAGAGATGTGAAAATAAGTCTGTGAGCAGATTTTAAACTCTGTGTGGGATTGGAGTGTTTCTGAGTTCCCTCTCTGTTTCTGCTAAATATCCCTCTGTTGATAGTTCAGCAAATTATCCACCGTTGTTTTGCTCTGACAGCAAGTGATGAGTTTGGAAAGAGCCAACTGTTTTAACCCCAACCATGGAATAAATTACCAGATTCAAGATTTAGATTTTGCAGTTTAAGAATCTCTCTATTGAATTAAAGAGATAGAAAAACAGGATGGCAAAATGGTGAGAGAGGAAGCGATGTTGACCACATTTTTACATAATTCATGCAACTTTACACACTTAAGTAAACAAAGGAGGTGTAGTGAAGGCTGCTATAATTAAAGTAAACAAAGTATTCGACACGATCTACCTCACTGTTTGACCTTTTTAAGACTATTTACATATAAAACCTATATAACACACCACAGGAAAGGGAAAACCCCAGAAAGGGGAGGATTGTAAATTGGCATTGTTGGCCCTTAAAGACGATGCCTTTCAGCAATGCATTAAAATGGCTGTCAGGTTGTAGAAAATGTAGTTTTTAGACTCTCTCAAATATGAAGATTGGCTGCTTTTAAGTTCATATTTTTGCATTTTAGACTGACAAAAGAAAAGATTTGATGAATTCACCTTGGATTTAGGACTTTTAGGAACCATGTATGGACATTTTTGACAATTTGTTGACGTTTTATGGACAAAAGATAACCTATTAATCTATAAAATAAACAAAATCATAGTTAGTGTAGTCCCAGTAATCTATTAAGTGACGTAGGAAAAAAATAATGATTCTGATCCCCGCATACTGCTTTTAAAATCCCGCACTTTCTAATATACCCTTCTTCTCCACTGTGTCAGTATTCTCCAGATTATGATCAATCTCACGCTCATCTCCATGAATATTTTTCCATCATCTTCATCATCATCAATGTCACCTTCCACCTTCTGCTGACTCGGTGCTTTTATCCTT